AATTCTCCCAATCTTTTGATATAAGAACTATTTTTTTTCTTTTTCTCTATTTCTTTTTTTTTATTCACTCATTTATATTCTAAACCTGTCTTGAGTTACTCCGTGCCACTCAAAGGTGAATGCAGTAGGATCCCTGGACTCCAGAAGCACATTGCCTGGTGAATAGGCAGGTACATGAGCTAGTAATTCTAGACCAATGTAGTGGGGGTTACAGTTGATGTAGTTGAGTTATTGGCCATATAGTTTCCTCAGTTGTTCCTGACATCGCTTTCACCCTGCCCTTCTTCACAATTCTGTAGTAGGCAACCAAAATCAACACCTATCCCTTCTGTGTGAAAGCTGCCATGTTTTTGTAGCATTTCAGCTGCTTGCTTCTTCCTTCTTCCATCCTGTATGTCACTGCCAAACCCATCTTTCCCAACCACCCTGTTAATCGTGTCTTCCATTTGCACACAGAATCTAGAATATTCAGTGACTTACCATTTCTTTAAGGGGAAAAAAAAAAGCCTGAGCTTCATGCTTTCAAGAACTTCTACAATCTTATTAAGATTTTCTCTTCCCACTCCCCAGTGTGAGCCTACTCTTCTAACACAATAACGTACTTACTGCCAAGCAAGCACTTTGCTCATTTATACCCCCTTACAGTAAGTCATGCCAAAATGCCAATTGTGCCCATGTTGAGAAACTCTGAGCTAAACTGTAAGCTCTCAGGGCAGGAACTATGTCATGTTCATTATTTTATCCATCTCACTAAATCAGGTAGTCCTTTGACTACAGAAAGTGTGCAAAGAACTTTTACTGAGTTGAGACCCAAATATTGTCTATTGAAATGATGAACAGGGACTGTACCTCCTCAACAAGATAATGCATATTTGCTGTATTTATTAAGTCCATTGCTTATCAGTACCTTGTTCTCTTTACATGGGAAAATGGCTCAAAGTAAACAATACTAACAACAACAACAAAAGGATTTCTGGTCTCTTTAAGATTTACCACTGAAAGATGGATTGATTCTCCTTTGACAGTCTCTCTTTGCTCTGTAGCAACATGACCTGGTATAAAGGTGAAATCAAAACTCATGATTAAAGTAGCTTTAGTGATTTTAAGAATCTCTCAAGGAAAGATGAACATTCTTGAAAAAGTTGAAGCTTAGATATTTTCCTGAATATGACACATTCAGAAAGCAAATTCCAGAACCCCAGGGTTAAAAGGGAGCCTCTTTCATAATCACCACAGATAAGAGAGGGTTGGAGCTGTTATTTAATTAACTCAGTTCTTCTAGGGGATAAAAAGTCCTCATAGAAGTTAGTCATCTACTTCACAAATTTCTTGTGGCTTCAAAAACTGTTCACTACTGGGACTTTCTACCAAAACGCTGTAAGTAGTAAAACTGAGCAATATGTAGCTCAGTCTAGGAAGAAACAAGTGTGATATAAACTGGCTCTTACCCAAAATATTTTTTTTTACATTAACTTAATTTTATAAGAAACTAAATGTTTTGTGTTTGCCTCAAGTGTTTTGTGTGTATTTGAAATTTATTTTCAATAATCATACGCCAGAGAGAATTCATTCATTCACTCAGCAGTCAGTAAATGCTTTTTATGAGTTCGTGAATCCTGAACACAAAACTTGAATGAGTTTGCCCTATTATGATGCAAACCATAGATTTTAGCATTAGGCAGGCCTGCATTTTAGTGTTAATACCTACACTTCCTACCAGTGTAAGCTTTGCGAAGTTATTTAACCCCTCTGGCCTTCAGTTTTTTCATCCATACAATAAATTCAAAATAATCCCCACCTTTAGGATTGCTATGAAGATTAAGATAATATATTTAAAATACCTAACACAGAAGAGGCCATCAAAAATGTCAGTTGTCATTTTTATTACTGCACTGACCGTTATAATTCAAGATATTTACAATTATTTGTGTTTACATTTTTCTTATTACAAATATCTTCATAAGAAGAATTATAAAAACAGTTAAGTAACATTCATATTAGCTCACTGTATTAAATCTAATCAATCATTCCTCTTTCAATAATCTGAAGGTTTTAAGTAGCTTCCAGTATGGGAGAAGAGGGAGCAATATATAAATCCTCTCTGAATTTTCTTAAAGTTATTGCAGGAAATATGAGTATACAAAAAAAAACTAGGAAAAAAGACTATAGTTTGACCTAGGACATGAAGTGATATACATTAAAATGACCGTGTAATGCATAAATCGGAAGCAAAATTAGCCTAATAGCAACTTTAGAAAAGCAACACCGGAATAATGAACTAGATTCTAATAAACCTGAGGGTAATGTCAAAGTGTCAAATTCTATTTAGAAGAAGCAAGTGTAATATGAATTTTTAGAGATTATAGGCAGGTCTGGGGATGTTTTAATTCTTAGAAACCCTTTCGTTTTTCCCTGTAAGCCAGTGCACCTTTACTACCTGGAATTAAAGGTGATCTGTGGGTTTTGAGATGCCTTCTTTTTCCTATTGTCTACATTGTCATTGAGAAGATATTAACGCTTAAGAGAAAGAGAAACTGTTCTGTTAGCTTGCAACAAAGTAGGTCAGCTTGGAGAGGGCAGAGAGCAGCCTAAAGAAGAGGGTACAGTGTCCTTCCCAAGGAAATAAAGATGCTAAAGCTGACCTTCCTGCCAGTTGTTCATTATTTGTGTGCCTCTGTGAGAAAGAAAAAAAAAGTCACAACTGCTAAATGGGAGACTGTCAGGAAAGGCAGTTTCCTGTCAGAGCTAAGATCAGAGGGTTTCCATTCTTGGTGTCGATTCAGGGCAGCTATCGTGAGATATTAGGTGGGATTTCAGGGTACAAGTGTGGCAAATGTCACCAGCCTGTTGCTGACTGAGTGCTGGCCAAAAGGAAGCTTCAGATTGTGGGCTCTCGATAAACACTGCCAAACCCTGACTTTTATCTTATGTTACCGGAAACCTGACAATTTATTTTTGTCCCCTTTCAACACTACAAGTGTTTTTCTTGCTGCCAAAATACATGCATCTCTTATTTACTATTGTCACCTATTAATTCACATGATTAAGTTCTCTTACCTATGACTAGAATGTGGCCCTATTCCACATCCTCATGAACAGAGTCCTGCTATTGAAAAGAAAAACACTCCTGGGGCACCTAGGTGGCTCAGTCAGTTAAGTATCTGACTCTTGGTTTCTGCTCAGGTCATGGTCTCATGAATTGTGAGATCGAGCCCCACATCAGGCTCGGGGCTCAGCGGGAGTCTGCTTGAGATTCTTTTCCCCCTGCCCCTCCCCCACTTGTACTTGCACACTAGTGCTCTCTCTCTCTCCCTCTCCCCCCACCCCTACTCTCTCAAATAAATAAATCTTAAAAAAGAAAAGAAAAGAAAAACACTCTTAGCTCTCATAATCATTTTGTACCTTGTGGAGGATTGTGTCTTCTGTTCCTACTCCGTGTTTTACCTAAATGTCACATTGTTTTGCATACGGAGAGACTATTTACAAGCTTTTATTTGCTATACTTGCATGCTATATTCCAATGGAGATTCATTTTATGTCATTCAGCCTGGTCCACACATAAGGTATGAATCAAACAGAGGCAAAATTACCCTTGGAAAATTCCTTAAATTGACTGGATAATAGAGTAGACATAATTTTGCATATAATATCAAAAGTTTGCAATCCATACACTGGATTCCAAAGGAGGGGAAGTCCAAACTAAGGGTAGTGTAGAAAGAGGATAACTTGAATGTAAGCAGATGGCCAGACGTTAAAACCGTTCTGCTTGTAAGTTTGCAATGTAATCCCTCTACAGAATGCCTAATGCCGGATGGGTGGAGAATTTCAACGTGCTCCTGCTTCACTTTGCCAAGGGGGAGTATCACTCCATTCTGTTTCAGTATGAATCCTCGGTGATGTTAACAGATGTCATCTGACCTCTTTGTCTTTGTGAGGAGGAAGCGTAATGGTGGGGACTCTTCTTGGGGGGTAAGGGGCTAAGGGGTGAGTATCTACAGAACTAGGGTTCCCGTCCAGTATGAAAACAGCTAATCAGAAAGTGCCGGAAAGAGACACTGGCAGACATTTTGAGTATTTGGGATGGCAGAAATAATTCTTCACTCATGAAGGTATTAGGGAAGATGTGGAGCTTCTTGATTTGTGTGGAGTGCATCCAGTCACTATTTTATAAAATCTTATTATCAAAACAAAAAATAAAATGGAAAAGTCTAGCCACTTTTTTGTGAACTCCCATGCACTTAAGATACTATAAAAGTTGTACACCTTTTCTTTGGTAAAAACAAAAACAAAAACAAGTGTGTGCTATAAATAGATCCAGTAAATTCATTGCCAGCTTCGTGTTGTGGTCATCTTTGCTATTACCCTGAAAAGTAAGGCTTTTCTTATCAGAAGCTTAACTTTCTAAAGTTTCAGCCACATCATATCAAACATCAAAAGGAAACCCAGCTCACATCAAATATAACTTTGACTGTAAACAAATACTTTTATTAATTATTACTCAGTTTTTATTTTGTAGGTTTTCTTTCATGCTTTCAGTCATTTTGGTTTTTCTCAAAGACATTAGGCTGGGGGATAAACTCTAATGCTGGGTGGATAAACTGGCCTTTCTGAAGGAATAGCTCTGTCATTCTGAAGAGCAGTTAATACTTTTGTCCCCTTCCCTGCAAATAAAAAGTACAGGTCCTTGGTTTGTGAAAACTAACATAAAATTTCCTCCAAAAAGTATATCTCCCCAATCCATGTGTTTTCATCTTTTATTGTCTGAGGAGATTTTTGACAAAATGTTGCTTGATCAAACCAGGCAGCATAAAATTATATTTGTGATGTAAGACTGATACATGAAAATATTACTCTTCTTCAGAGAGAATTCTTAGCTAGTCATAGAAGCTTAAAGAGAAACTACTGTGCTTCAAAGAGAAATGACACTTCCAGAGGGTCACAGCACCCATGCCCAAGTTGTTTGGATGAATGCAAACACCCTTGTTTCTTGTTTTTGTGCAGCTTCCATAGTGATTGGGAAATGGTGGTGTGAGATGGAGCCTTGTCTCGAGGGAGAAGAATGTAAGACACTACCTGATAATTCCGGATGGATGTGTGCTACAGGCAATAAAATTAAGACAACAAGAGTAAGTTTATTTCTTTCAAATGTCTCATGCATGTTACCAACCATACTGTTTACCTTTGTGTTCTATAATCAGCCCCCAGAGAAGCTTCGAACAGGAGACAAGAAAGCCTTTTCCTTGACAGAAAACATTCTTAATCATTCATATTGATTAATCTCAAGTTAGAGATTGAACTTGATTTTTCCATACTGAGCAGTTCAGTGTTTCTGTGACTGGCTCATAAATAAGGCTGGGTTGCCATAGCCAAAGGAATAGGAACAGTAATTATTCAAATAATTCAGCCAATAACTATGGTGCTCAAAAGAGATTATAAAATAAGGGTCTGGCCTAATTCACCCAGATGGTTTGCTGAAAAGGACTGCATTTAAGTACAGCCATTTTCTATAGGTCTTTCAAAGAATTATTTGATGATCTTTTATGGAAGTGAAAGGTTTTTGTGATGTGAATTTTCATTCCTTGGTTTCTGTGGGAAAATAAGGAGTTATCTTCAAAATATATAACAACCTGCATAGTGAGGCCATCCAACTCATCAGAATTGGTGTTGCGATGGCAGATTGGAAAGGCCCCGCTAGGCCAGACATTGACCCTATAGATACTAGATCATAGGAAAGTGTGGGAGTCCTAAAGGGGGGAAGATGGAGGGGGTTGCACTCAGAGCACTTAAGACAGTATTTATTCAAATGTACTACAGAACTATGTTAATATTTTTACAACCAGTAGGGTTACACATATCTATATCATGTGACCGAGAGCCCTGTTACACGTGTATGTATTTTAATGCATTGGGTATTGTTGAAAGCAAGCTCTACTAGTTAAAAATTCCAACATGTTGAACTTGTAGCCTTCCAAAAGGGTGATTCAAATTTAAAAGGGCATCTGTGATTCCCACCCCTGTATAATGAGTTTTAACTTGATCTTTCTTCTCAGCATTATCTTTTCAAGAAATAAAACTGATCCTTGCACCCTTGTGATTCAGAAAACATAATACCTTATAAAACATATTTTATATATAAAATAAGTAGAGACTCTTTGCATATTAAATTTAGTTGCCCGTATTGACTACAATAAGCAGTAAATGGCTATACCTCCTTGGCTCGTGGCCAGGAGAGGTTCCTGAACATCTTAGCCTGTTAACATGTATTTTCAGGGGCGCCTGGGTGGCTCAGTTGGTTAAGCGACGACTGCCTTCGGCTCAGGTCATGATCCTGGAGTCCCGGGATCGAGTCCCGCATCGGGCTCCCTGCTCAGCAGGGAGTCTGCTTCTCCCTCTGACCCTTCCCCCCCTCATGCTCTCTCTCTCTCATTCTCTCTCTCTCAAATAAATAAATAAATAAAATCTTTAAAAAAATGTATTTTCATGCACCTGAGATGCTCAGCATGGATTATCATATTTCAATTCAAAGAAACACCCTCAGGAGAGATTATTCGAAAATGAACCCAGTTCATGACATTTACCTCCAGAAACCATCTTCATTAACTGATGGAGAGTGGATTTCAGGTTTCCCTTTGGTTACATTTTGCCTGAAACTAATACCACCAAACAGTCTGAAGATGTCCTCACAAGTTGGTTTTCAGCTACTCTGAATCACGGCCAGTATGATTGGAATTTGATCACCATTATTTCAAGCAGGTTGCTAATATATTTTATTCTGCCAAATCTCCATATCCTCTTCCAAATGATAACTGATCTCCCTTTATTGAACATAAGCCTGCTCTCATGGTTCCTCCAGACCTGAAACTCAGTAAAGAACAATAATACAAGTCAAATTATTTCAGGATTTAAGTATGTGAAATTCCAAGGGTACCAACTAGGAGACTCTTTGGAAGACAGAATATAAATAAACAAAACACAGAAATGTTAATGCTACTTTTTATGACTGTGTAACTTTCTTTGATTTGGCCTCTGTAGAGTGTATTTTAAAACATATTGTAAATACCTCCCAGACATTTTCTGTTCTCCCAGAAGTACAGTGCAGGTCTGATCACAGTCATAGAGTCTGGAGCGCACTGTTTGCTACCGTCCTGGGTGGGCTGAATGCAACCAAGACAGTTGAGTGTACAAGAGAAATAAATCGCCCATGCAGTTGGTTTGAAAGCGGAGGATGTAGCTGTTCTAATGTGTGTGTCCATTTCAATCAAGGAAACAAGAGATTGCTCTATAGTCATGTGAGCAACACATCACTCAACTAATAAATCTCCACACTGTCTTTAGAGAAGGAAAAAGGAAACAGGAGGAAAAGCTGTACTTTTTTACACCTTGAGAGGACTCAGACACTACTACTGACTTAATTTTCTCCCCCACTTCCTTACAAAGAAATTCACAGTGAAATACATGCTTTTAAACACAAGGGCACAATTAAGTCCAGCTGATACGTACAGGCGCTTTCCCTTCTGTATAAACGGCATGCCAACACCAGTCTTTAGATGATGTGCTCCAAAATAGGTTTTATATTAATTTTTCTAGTACGCCCTATGTGATTTTCCCTGTCAGAGTATAAATACGCCTACATATTTCAAATATGGCCTCTGGCAGTTTAACTTTTAAAAACAGTTTAACAGACAGATATACTTTAATTATGAGTCATAGGTTTTCATTGTTTTGTTCTTATCTAAGAAGTAATCTTTAGGATAAAAAAAATCAAATTCTTAAAGTAAGAAGGAAAATAAAGAAAATCACCTCTTTGATTCTTATGTGTAAGACTGATTCAAAGAGAGTGCTCTCAGGAGAAAAAAAGAAAGAAAGAAAGAAAACATAAAAGCAAAAAAGACAGAAGAAACATGCCCAGCTTGTTAATAGCGACTGAGAGTTTCCTTCATACTGTTAATTTTTAAAAGTAACTCCAATATGAAGAAATTTGCAAGATAGAGTCCGGGATGTCATTTTTCCTTATATAGGTTTTTTTCAAAACCTTGCTATTATGACTTCCCAAATAATCATCCCAAGTCAAAATCCTCAGCAGTCTGTGAAATGTAGATAAACAAAGATATTTCAAACTGTGATCTAATTCAGACTTTCATGATGCTCATTTTTTTAAGGAGGATGGAGAGTAGAAATTCATTGTTTCATTTTTTTTTTGTTTTTTCTTTTTCTTTTTTTTTTATTATGTTTCATTTAAAGGACCAGACACAGCAGAATGGGAACTAGCCAGGGTAACGGGCCACAATCTGAAGGAAAGCCTTGAGAAAATTAGATCTAGGTGATAATATAACCTACAGAAGGAAGGAGAAAAGATAAGTAGAATCAGGTACAGGCTTCCCATTCAGGAGATTGGGGAGAATAAACCGAAGGAAAAGAGGAAGCTTCCTGAATGTCATTTTACAGAGAGAAAATAGTTACCCTTGAGAAGTTTTCCAAAACCTAGCAAGGGGTACAATAAAGCTGGTCACAGAAACCCTCCTAGAGAGAAGTCTGGTACATCTGGATGAAGTCTCAAGGCTAAATTTTAACCCTATTCCCTCTTAACCATTGCTTCAATTGTTTCATGAAATTGCTTTGTTGTTAGTCTGTGGCAAGACACACCAATCCTGATATTGACAAGAGATCTTCTCTTAAGGTTTTAGAAACCTATTGGTTTCTTTTCTTTAAACATATATATCAAAAACATAAGTTTGAAAGTTGATGATGCTATTGGAAAATTGGCTCTGTAGATTCTGGATGTGCCAATCTCCCAAATCAGGTGAGCTAATTCCCTATAATAAATATTATATTTAAAATATACAAAATAATAAGGTATAATATGGTATATGTATTTTAAAAAAAGAAAGTTGGGGATGCTGTATCCAATGCATTCAGCAATAAATGTATACTCTGTGTATTCAGGAATGATGCCTTAATTTAGAAAGATAGACTTCTCCCTGGAGAAAATAAGTTGTTTGACAATGCTATAAAAATTCACATGTAAAAAGTGAACATTCGTTGTTTGGGGACATAATGAGGAAGGGAATAAAATGAGGAGAAAACTAAAGGCGCTTGGAAGGAAAAATCAGCAGGTTAAAATAGTAGAACATAATCTGGTATAATGCCTGGGAACATATCAGGCAACTTCGTTAGTATCTTTCAGACTAATGAGAAAATCAACAGTTAGATTTCCACAAGGTAAAGTCAAGTTCCCTTCCCTAAAAGGGTGAGTTAGCAGACCTCAGACTGCACACCTAAACACAATGGCTATCTTGTCAAATTGATGTTTTACACAAACTACAGTCATCTGTCCACGCGACAGTCATTTGTCCACACCTTCCTGGGCACATCCTCCTAATAGTGACTCTGACACTGCATATCTCCATCCATTCTCCTCAGCCAATACTTTTTATATTAGAGAAGTGTAAAGTACCAGCTTTGACATATCCCAGCTTTATCATTCAAAATTCACTCGAAATTTCCACCTGGTCTGAAGTGTTATGAAAGCCTTTACAATCCTGATGTTCAGACCATTTTGCATGAACTACCTTTAAGAGAGAAGGCTAGGAAGGTGGGGCGGTGCAGGGGGAGGTGGATTTGGAAATGGCAAGAAGGAAAAATAAATCAATTTATGCTGTTACAATTGCCCCTGGGTTAGAGTGAACTCATTCATTTCTTTAACCAACAAATATTTTTAAGCCTCTTCTATCTAAAGTGAGTGTATTAAGGTTTTAGGGATGTGATGGTAGATATGACCCATCTCCTGTTCTTCCGTGAAGGGTAGGACCTAAGGTTGGGGGGTGCTGTGGGGGTGAGAATGGCAAATGGATAAAAAGGCAATTCCAATTCAGTGTTGTAAATGTCACTTTCTCCCTCCTTTTGATGAAGAAGAAGACAGTGGAAACAGAAGGTGATAAACACTACTAGAATGTAGGAAACCAAAGTTTGGAAGAATCTGTTATTCTTATGGAGAGGATAAAAAAATAAATGTGTGAAGATTTCTCATACATGCTGCCCTGGGTGCAACCAACTTTTGAAAGCAAACTTTTATTACTGTTCCCACCCAACTCTGAAACCTTTTCATGGACTCCATGCCTGGACTCAGAACACTCAATTCCTAAGACTATAAAGAACTAAGAGATGATGAAGAAAAATGCCTATATCCTAGAACTCTAAAGTAGAAGCTTCAACTCTCTTAGAATCATCATTTCTGCCCCAAACCAGTGACTCTCCGTGCATGCATCCTTTTGAACATTAGAGTCTTTGGGACCATATTCAAATATATTAAATGGTACCAGTAGTGGTGGGAGTATGCTCTTGGTTGCCCTTGAGTACTATGTCACTGGGAGGAAGAGTTCCTCATCCTGCAAGGGTCTCCTATGTTCCTAAGAAAATGTGTTCTAATCTTGGCAGTGACTTCTTTACCTGATGCCACCCCTTTACATGTTACAGCAGGCCAGCTTGACAAGGCCGTGGAATGACCTACTCAGTTCAAATTCTCATCAAACAGACACTGGACTAACTACATACTCTGAAGGGCCCTGTGCAAGAATAAAAACACAGGTCTCTTGTTCAAAAATTAGTAATAATTTCAAGACTGCAATAGCAGGTCATTAAATGAAGTGTGGGCCCCTGTTCAGCACAGGGCTCTGTGCAACTGTATAGGGTCATGTGCCCATGAAGCCAGTCATGGTTATTCATTGCTCCCAGAGTCTATCTCCTCAGCTGTGGCAAAATAAAAGTAATGAATTGATAAAAAATACGATGGCCTGTCAGTGTGCTTTTTGATCACCACTTGAGAACTATGGCTCTAGATTAACATTTTTGGCTTCAGAGTACTTGAAAGAAGCAACATGCTATAAATTCAAGATGTCCTCATTTTCTGCCTATTCACCTTTCTCTATGCCTTCATTTTGTTCTTTTCTCCCTGAAATTTCTTTCTTTCTTTGGTTTCAGATTCACCCAAGAACCTAATGGAAGCATTTGTCATAGTAGCAAAGGAAAACCACCTCTGCGGAAAATATATTTTAAGAATTTAAAACATCTTACACATTACAAGCCAAATGGATTTCTTATTTGCACTTTGACTGGTTACCAGATAATCACAGTGCTTTCACTGTGTGTCACAAAGTATCCTATAGTGAGAAGACCCCGCGCTTTTGGCAGCACCATGGAAAGTGGGTTTAAAAAAAAAACGGTTTTCTCAATGAAAATTTTTGGGATTACGAAGAACGATCAACTATCTTCTAATTTGGATCTATAGTTACTTTGTACCATTTTAAATATATGTATATATATAATATTTTGAAATATTATATATTCTCTTCAAGAAATGAACAATACCACAGTTTGAGGCGGCTGGTGTACCTCTTTGAGTTTGGATGTTTTGTTTTGTTTTGTCGCGGTTTCTTTTTTTACCGGCAAGGAAGAAGACACGTGCCCCTTTTGAAACTTCAACATGGCACTCACACTGGAAGGCCAGCTACAGGTGGACTTCTGGAATCTGAGGCATCCTAACAATACTGAATCGAGAGCTTCCTTCTGTTTCTACCAGATGGCCCAAGGAAGCACATCGTCCTGTTTTATTGCTTTCTACCCGTGCAATATTAGCATGCAAGCCTGGCTTACATAACCATACTTTATATTCAATTGATATATAATAACCATTCTAACCTCTTCCAGGAAAGTATTTTTAGAACTACTAGCTTTTCCACAGATAAGACAATGAGGATTCTTGAGGGAGCTACTCCACCATGCTATTAAGACTCTGGCAAAATCATGGTAGAAGACGGATCCCTGTGTTAATAAGTTCTGTAAATACAATGTCTTAAGGCTTGGTATAGCTGTCCTAGACTGCAGAAATATCCTCCGATTAAATCCAAAGCCTGGCATCATTAAGTACATAGTGCTGTAGCCACAAGTCTTATCATGGCACCTCTTTCTATGTTTGATTTGCTTTTTCCAAGAGTATTCAGGTCTCTTCTGAATCTGAAGATTCAGGAAGACCATTAAAGGAATTAGGTTTCAGAATGATCTCTGTGACCAAATGCTGGCCAGCCCTATTAAAGTGGTAGATAACTTCTTTCTACACCTACTTGTTGTCTTTATTTGCCATGTATTTGCCCTGAGTCAGCTTTAGCCAAATCCAGAGAACAGCCTGCTTAGAGACTTGTAGTCGGCCGGGATTTTTTTCCATGAGGTCTCTGCTGCCATCCCAGCCAGCATTTCTAATCCCAGTATTTTGAAAATCAGAAATTCATTACTATAACTGCTGTCTTCTTAACCCACAAGATGAAATGTCAAATCCCATTATTGGGTTTCTGTACTGGTCACTTGGATGAGACATATGGGGCTCACTTCTCCAAAAAGAAACTTCTGTCCATCTTCTCTTTTTAAAAGTTACTCAGATGATGATTGTAGAAAAGAAATATCTATTATCTACCTGGGATAACATAATAATACTATACATTCCTGTTACTTAACCTAGCATATTTCAAATATATCTGTTTTTTCTCCAAAGCCTTCTCTCTACAATACATGTTGTTAGGGCCTCTTATTATATCACCAGCACAAGTGGTCCCCTAGTGTGGATTTTTAAAGTTAAACCTCAGGTAAAATCCAGAGGTTCCTTCATGTCTACCAATATAGCGTGAAGTCTGAATGAATATGTAAATACTCTAATCAGATAGATTGATTCTGTATCTCAAATGCCTATAAAAAGCATCCAGAAATGTAAATGGAATCCTAATTGCAAAATCTAGGCTTTCCAAATACTTTCACAAATATTTGCCAGAAGATAGCATAAAATTCATACAACCAAATCAGAATCCCTTGAATTTATGGTCCATATTCATGTACCAAGTAATACATTAGCAATTGACTTTCTCCTGTAAACTTCAGAGTAAAACCTGAAATCATGAATGCAAAGAATTATCTGGAATAGTACTTCCCAAAATGGGGAGGAAAAAACCTCCATAATCAAATACATTGGGAGAAAGTTTTTAAATAAAATAAAACAGAAATATTTACTGAGGAAATTTTCAGAGCCTTTAATACACCAGAAGTGATGTATGTCTTCAAGAAAGACTAAAACATGGGTTGCCAAGTAAAGAACTTCCAGAATCCAGACATGTAAGGTGGTTACTTGACAAATGGACGGTACATCCTTGACTAATGAGAAACTGCAAGAAATTATTTCTGTATGAGGACATACTCGCTGCCTTGTTACATCTTCAGTTTTTTCCAATAGAACCAGAAATCTGGATTTTTGTATAAAATCTCCTAACATTCTTAAATAAGATTAACTAATATGAGATGTTTGTCATTAAAAATTCTACAAGCATTATTATTGCCCCCAAATTCCCTGATCGTGTGGCTTTTTCTAGGAGATGAATGTTTCCTGGAATACCCTTTAAAAAAAAAAAAGTTGGTCCTAAATGAAAATCCAATGGGAAGAAAAAAGAATATTCTCTTTTCTATGGACTCATGCATACAGACCCTTCTCACAATTTACAATATGTGGGGCTCACAGCTTCTCCTGTTCTGTAACCAGAGACTGTAAGTCAATGAAAGAGTTAGTCTAGAGGCCCAGGTCTGTCAGTTCATTTCCTAGTGATCACTTCATGCAATAACCTCCCTTGGAAAGACCTAGAAGAAGAGAGAGGGGGGGAAAGACCACATCAGAATCAGGCAACCATCCAATAAAACAGTGCAAATATTTGTAAATGTCATCAAATTCAATTTGGATTTATCAAGGCCCTTATACAAATGTGTGAACCATCAAGTTGTACTTAAATTGGACCCACCCCTGTTAGGGGGATTCAGTAGCTATCCCGTGCCTACATCTATTGTTTAAAAACTTTTATCATGTATTGCTGGTAATAAAGAGCTTGGTGTGGTATGACTAATAATGATTTTTGAGCTTGTACATCAGGTGTGATAAATAATGTCCTAACATAATTAGAGCAAATGGAAAGGCCTTTATCCAGAACCCATTTCTGGGTAAAAAGGAAAATATGGCTCATTTCATAAGGCAGATTTTGGAGTTAGGTAAAGCTTATTTCTTGACTTTTTTGTATGTGTGATTAGATTTATCTATTAATGGATTTGGCAAGCACACTGAGAAGTTTTACTAGTAGGCTTTTTTCTGTTATCGAATGATGAAGAATGTTTTCACCAACACACAATTCAACATCATTTTCTGATCAAACCCAGTGTAACTTTCACAAAGCAATGGTTTTATATAGGGCAGTATATTATGCCACCTTGACATTGTCACTGATGTAAGTTATGAAGGGTATAAAAATTGTTTATATGAGGAGATCCACACATTCCTCACCTCCATAGGATACGCACTCCATCCTGGAAGGTTAAATGGCATATCATAACATAATATGAGTTTTTCTTTTAATTAAGCTTGACACTTCCATTTCAAAATCTATTAAGGTTTGCCTGAAAAATAAGAGAACCATTTTCCTTTTCATGAGCTGTCTGCTTTCCAAATAAAAGATTTAGTGTCTAGTAAATTCTAGGGCTCAAGCCACCTCCATCAGAGTGAATAAATATAAGAAAACAAGATATAAGACATACTAAGAAAAGTGAGGGCTCAGGACTAGTGACAACAGTGGTAGAATTGGATGGCCTAGTGCCCACGGGCATCATGCAAAGTGATAAAATAGAATCATGTTCACACTTCATAGTAAATTAAATAGAAAACCATTAATTGCATGTGCACACACACACACACATATCTCCTGTTAAAGATTTAAAACTTTTAGGTTGAATCGGTGGGGGTTTTTTCCTCGTAAAGCTCTTAGGGACCTATCAGGAGATGTGGTGGCATGCACTCACATCATTGGTCTGCGAGTGGCTCTCATTTATTTGTTTATTCATTATTTAGTTTGCTTCACTTTTTCCCAGGTGTTAAGCTCTCATTTATTTGTTTTGGCAGCTAGATGCATTATTTTAAAAAAATAATAATTATCAAACATGAAAGCCAGGACCCCAGCCATAACTGACTGTATTTATAGACCAGGCAGTGTATATGCAGCCCTAATTCCCACCTGTTCAGAGAAGCTGTTACCCAAAAGTAGACTCACATGCACGTGCCAAGGAAAATCTGGGGCCAGACTTGCCTTAAGACAGTGGCTGTCGGGGGCCTGAGTGGCTCAGTCTGTTAAACGTTGGCTTTCAGCTCATGTCTGCCTTCAGCTGAGGTCATGATTACAGGATCCTAGGATCGAGTCCCATATCGGGCCCCCAGTGGGTAACCTGCTTCTCCCTTTCCCTCCTCCCCTCCTCCCCTGCTCCCCCGTTCTTATGTGCTCTCTCTCAAATACATAAATAAAATCTTAAAAAAAAAAAAAAGTGGTTGTCAACCATTTAGCCACAGTACATGGATGTGTGGCCCTACATCATGGAGTATGGAAGTGACTCCTTACTATTAATCAAGTCTGCAAATACATCTTAAAAGGAATTATAATTGGCTTAAGGGTAGTTTTCAAACAAGGCCTGAGAGGCTTATGTGCCTATAGGCACTAGCCAGGTAACACTAGTTAGTTAACCAGGGTCACATGTGAAAGAAGGCCTAGGCACACAGTGATGAGGCTGGAGACCTGACACTACAGGGTTCTAGCAGCCAGCATTTGGTCCCAGACTTAGGGAGCCAGGGTGGCCCAGTTCTTCTGTTTTATTTGTTGTTGTTGTTGTTATTCTTGTTGTTGTTTTGGGAAAATCCAGAAACTTAGAGGCTTGTATGAATTCTCCAACCCATTGAATTTTCATTAAAAGAAAAGGACTCTGTTCTGTCCATGAAATACTAGTTTACAAGTCTGGCCTAAAATTACATTATTCTCATGGATTTGCATCCTTGTGCCCATCCTCCGGTGGTAGAAAAAGCAATGGAGTTAGAGCTTATTTGAAGTTCATTGCACTTAACCTGCAGATTGTCTTACTTTTCCACTGAGAATACTGTGGGTGCAGCAACAGACCTCGATTGTCCTCGACTGGGGACACTTGACAGTTGCAAAAAGGGGTCAACCACTGGCTAGAATGGAGTTAATTGATTGAAGTTCTGTAAATTCCAACCTGGGGGTCACAAGCTGGTGTGGGAGCAAAATTTAGGGACTGGAAGAGGGCAGTATAAAGTCAGCAGAACCCACCAGTTGGTGCTAATACATATGAGAAGCTTGTACATTTAGTTTAAAGAATGTTACGAACTGGCTGTCTGATCAGAATGGCCTCCTCTCTGCTTCCGTGTTCCACACATACCCTCCCATACATGCAGATTCTTGAGTTCTTTGTCCCCTGATCTGGATCCTCCTCCAGATTTAGAAGCTCTCAAAGTTTCTCACCCCTCCCCCATTCCTGCCATTCACCTCCACACTGACACATTTCTTCTCTCTTTTCACATTGTATCCATTGAAAAGAACCCTAAGACTGTAAGCCAGAAAAGCGCCCCCTGCCAAAGATTCAAGTCCTTGTTCTCCACTTATAACTGAGAAAAGCCTATACCCTCTGAGTTTTCATGTCTATAAAATGGAGATCATGCACAAAGTTTAAAGGTTATGGGAGGTTGAGGGAAATAGAGAAAACGGAAATATTTTATAAATGGAAAGCAGCAAGTAAGCTGTGGTTGTTGTGCTCTTCTTCTCAGATTCCTACGATTGTGTGTCACCTAGAGGCTCCCTGTGTCAACGCTAGCCCCACTCAAAGCAAAACAACAACAAAAAAATCAAACCTAGGTAACTAACAGCCAAAATATGATTTCATATTCTCTTTCTAGAAAGCTCTAGGACTAGACTGATCTTGCTCAACTTTGTAGGATTTGCCATTTGCTATTACCACTGCTAATGTTTTTAAGCCAGTATACCTTACATTCAAGCATTGGTGTTGGCACAAGCAAGTAATTGCATGTTGGAGAAGGCACCTTGCTGGTATCCAGAATGTTCATCCAGAACTTGAATCACTGATGACCTGATCTATCTGCTGTGTAAGACAATTTTCAGCAACTGCACACAGTGTCATTACCTGGCTACTTCTTTCCCACATCCAGCCTCTTGTCATTCAGGCTATTATCCTAGCAGATTCTTATGT